TGGGGGGGGAAGTGGCCCATCCAAAAGAATATGAATCGGCACCCGTATTGCCAGCGCGTTCCCTGGCCGGAAGAACGATGCAGGAGAGTTGGCAGTTGCCATCCTTATGCTTCCTATATGAGACCATACGACGTCAACTTCCGCGAACATTTTCACGGAAATGTGCGTTATGTATCCAGGAGATCTGAATTAGCTCCTTTGCTCTTGTGCAACTTTGAGCATTCCCCAGAATTCAAGATAGCGGCCGCCGCCTGTGAATGCTGCTCAAGTTTCAAGGTGTTATTTCGACGACTCGGAGGGTCGTGTGATACCGTTTTGAGGGTTTTTGATGTAACGCTGCCCATTTCTGCAGTTATTATTTATGTATGAGTTCAGAGTCAAGGTCAACTCAAAATTTAACGGTCGAACTTGCTCATAAATCTCCAAAGCTGCCTCTTTTGACCACTTTTACTTTTTGTTTTCTTTTCATACTCATTGTGAGGGTACAACTCGCAACAGCTGATTGTCTTGTTAACCATAATAACACGAAATTGTCCTATATGCGCTATAGATGTACCATGAAAGACTATGATACATACATACTAGACACGACACTAGACACTAGACACGTACTATCTGATGTACTATATATATATCTGATGTACCGTTCAGAAACTCGTCCATAGGAGTGTCCCACAACTCTGCCAGGACGTGATATTTTATCTCTCAAATCATGCTACCGGAGCTCTACATCGAGAAGCAGAAACAAAAAAAAAACGAGAAAATCTTCACGTGCCTATATCGCGATTCTCTAAAAGCTGCTGAGGCTCCATTTTAGTGGCTTAGATTTGAAGCAAAACTGTCTGCTGTCTAGGAAACGGTGTAACCTGACAACTAGACCCATACAGCTGAGTGCAGGTCATACAGTGTAAGACCGTAAAGAAGCATAGTTAAATCAGTTCTAGAACCTCTGGGACTAGAGTGTCAGCGCTTACACTCAGTGGGGTGATTTATCTGCATCATGCTGACGCCCGATACCATGTGTCTTGTTACAATCGTTCCTGTGCTGTTCCGTGCACCGCTCGTCCATCGAGGAACCTGCCTACATCCTCCAGGTCGGGTGCTCTCCTGCTGACTTCAGGCAGTCGCTCAGCTCCTGGTATGACCTGTTGCCATGGAGTAGAAAATCTGCAGCAGCACGGCGATCATGAGGCGGTGTGCCCTTAGTTCATTCTATTCACGAATCATTCCGACAAGTGGCTTATTGTTTGATTTGGTACCATTACAATGGTAACGTAAATGCAATATCAAAGCATGACAACAACGCGACCACATTCGCACGTCATCATACACTCAGTCGTTCCCATAACTTCGTCAAAAACAAGATCATTAGCAAAATGCGAGTTGTCAACACCTGCTATACAAAGCCAAGCGAGCAATGATTACACGACGGGACCGTCTGAATCCTCTAACTTTTTACAAAACCCATAGCGAATGCGAGAGGTGATGATGGCCGGCGGCAGGCGGCTCCAGGATGAGGCCGCGCAATGCAAGAAAGTCCTGCGTGCCACCGACAGGCGAGGAGCTGGCAGAGCAAGGGCGCTCGGGTGGCACGCTGGCATACAGCTGCACGTCGGGTGCACAGGGGCCGGATCGCCACCGGGGCGTGCGAGTCATAAAGGGTCCTGAATACAGAGAGGCCGTCACGGCTGGTGGCAAGGCCATTAACACCACGCCAGCCCAACGCAGCCCAGCCCAACAGTCACCGCCATTGAATCTTGCCGACGAGCACCGGTGACAACCCTGGCCTCAAAGTTTATCGCCCCTTGCACTCCGTTTAGGTGACGCGCTGCAGTCCCACCGCATATTGATATGCAATAGCTGAGATGAGGGAATAGATGGGGCTGGGTGAGAAGCTTACGATCCTCGGGCGTAAGGTGGTGACGAATTTTATACAGGCAGAAAAGGATGGAGTCGCACTTTTTAAAAACTTGGGATGTATGCATTTCCCAGGAAAGCATACTTTCAATCGTATTTTCCACCATCTTCACGAACAGCGAAAGGCTTTAATTTTTGTTCCGCAATGTCACGGTGAAAAGATGAGGTTTGCTTCAGGAATCGCTGAGTGCCAAGAAGGACAATGGCTGTTTTGGTAAGAGTCATCTTCGATGTTCGATGTGAAGTAGGACTGAATCACTTGGATGGATTCGTCCTGGCGGGATTTCAAAACGGAAAGTTTGTCTGGGTGAGCGCATTCTAGCAATCTGGTGTCGGACAGTATACGCCCGTGATGGAGATAAGATAGAAGGTCGTTCGTGAAGATGCTGAAGAGGATAGGGCTGGCCAAAGATTCCTGAGGGCCGCCGTACGTCAGTGAGTCAGTGGAAGAGAGAAGCGACCGCCTCTCACCACCTGCCACCGACCAGCGAGGGAGCTGTCAAACCCTTTCGGATCAATGCCACACCACTGCAGATTCGTCAGAGGGACGTCATGGTGGACGCTGTCAAAGGCACAATGTAGATCAATGAAGGTGACAGCGGCAATCACTCCACGGCTTTGACCATTGCGTCCTCTGTTGAGTGGCTAGGTCTGTAAGCGTACTGTGATGGAACTAATATGCAATGCATGTATTGGCACGCCGTCAAGTACCACCGCTCTGAGTGATGACAGTTCGCTCAAAGCCCTTGATAGTTAGGCAAAGTCGCAGGAAGTAATCTTAGATTGGAAGTGGTCAGACACGGTGGCCTTGGCGGAAGAGTGGAACTGCCAAGAGTGTCCGCTGCCAGTTCAGCAATGGTGTGTGGGCCGACGGAAGCGAAGAACCGGAAACCCAAGTGCCTTAGGATGTTGGTCCAGCCAAAGAAAATGTCACACATCCCAGAGTAATTAGAAAAGGACAGAATGTGTTTGAACAAAGTGTGCTAGCCACGGTCCCGCAATTTTGTCTTTCACAAAGCCGGTTTATGAAATGCGAGCGCCCTGCGAACGATAGCCAAATGGTATTGTTTTGCCCATGATGTCAAATTCTGATTTTCCTTTCACTGCAAGTTTTTAAGTGCCTTTTCGACGGACATTATGCAAATAAGGCAGTAATAATACATTATTCCTTGCAGAAAAACGGTAGAATGGAGAGAAGGAGGCGTTGAGCGGAGCGGAGAGGTTTCGACCACATGTCTTTATCGAAACGAGCACAACTAGTTAAATCATGCCTAGTGCTACACTACACTGATATTCGTATGCTGTCACACACACACATATATATATATATATATATATATATATATATATATATATATATATATATATATATATATCTCTCTCCTCTCTCTCTCTCTCTCTCTCTCTCTCTCTCTCTCTATCTATCTATCTATATCTATCTATCTATCTATATATATCTATATCTATATCTATATCTATATCTAAATATATATATATATATATATATATATATATATATATATGTGTGTGTGTGTGTGTGTGTGTGTGTGTGTGTGTGTGTGTGTGTGTGTGTGTGCGTGTGCGTGTGCGTGTGCGTGTGCGTGTGCGTGTGCGTGTGCGTGTGTGTGTGTGTGTGGACACCAAAATTTATACTTCTATGTACTGCCAATATTCGTTTCGACAAAGACATGTTGCCGAAACATCAACGCATTTCTCTCCATTCTCTTGTTGTTTTTTTTTTACCAAGGACAGGACTATTACTGCTGCCCTACTTGCCTTTCACTGTTTTGATATTGTCACTTGACCATCATTTAACAAATTTTCTATGCCGTTTGCATGCTACTTCATTCGTCTTAAGTTATCAGCAGCGTACAGGCGTCGTCAGGGACCGTGCAAACAGACATCATCTAGATGCCAACTGACTACAGTTTCATTGAACGCAAATTAAATGCGCTATACAAATTGGCTTTCAAATTCAGAAACCAGAGTGTTTCGGGTGTGAACAAATAACAGTTGTGAACGTTTCTAGGTATCTATCTCCTCCATCTATCCGCCCATCTCAGCTCATAAACCCCACACGAGGGTACACAGATTCCTTTTAAGACACCCTCAGCCACAACCACGCACTACTTGTGTTTACCATGTGCGGCAGCATTTAACAAAACACGCGACTGTTTGAAAAAATCGGACATAAGCAGTCATTTTCCGTCGTGCCCGGGGCCACTTGCCGCAGCGCTGATCATTGGCTGCGACGAATCGCCGCAAGGGGCATTGCAACAGCGCTGCCAATTCGCTGAACAGAAGAGCAAAAGAGCGTTCTCGACTACCATGTGGCAATATTGAAGTTGTACCGAATAAACCAAAGCACTTAGACAAAATTTTAAATGATGTGCGACATATGTAACGGGCTTTCACAATTGTTTTGCATTTCCAGCGCTCTTTCACAGAAGCTGATAGCAAAACCACCGGCAACGCACCAGGCTTCACGATCCTAAGTCCTTTTCAGAATTTTTAAAATGTGGGGCATTCTCCTTAGCTGCGGCAGCCAGCCCATTGTGACTGAATAAATCAATAATTGTTGGGTGTGTCTTTGACGCTAGCAAGCCACACTGTTGTATGTGGTTGCAACCACGCGCTTGTACACCGTGCACAACTATGCACACAGTCTTGAGGGCACAAAACGTTACTTTATGGACGGTAGCTTATGAAAATATACCCGGCGCAGAATACAAGAGCTGCTTGCACAGTTCCGCCACGGAAAGCACGTCCATCCACCCAAACAGACACATCGATTTTGTCGATAAATGTGTCTCAGTCGAACTTTGCCTTGCCTCGGTCTAAATCTGCCCAAGTTGTGTTACAAAATCGTCCCGCCTTATTTGGGCTTTGTTAGAAGATCGGTTCGCAGTCGGGATGTGTCCAGGGTCGTCGTCTGACCTCGTCCGATCTGTGTCAGGATCGTCGTCCGACCTTCTCCGGGCTGTGCCAGGGTCGTTGACTGACCTCGTCCGATCTGTGTCAGGATCGTTGTTTGACCTTCTCCGAGCTGTATCAAGGTCGTCGTGTGACCTCCTCTGTGTCAGGGTCTTCGTCTGACCGTCTCCGAGCTGTGCCAGGGTCGTCGTCTGGCGTCACCCGAGCCGTGTTAGAATCTCGTCTGACCTCTTCCGAGCCGTGTTAGGATCGCCGTCTGACCTCGTCCGAGCCGTGTCAGGATCGTCGCCTGACCTCGTCCGATCCCTGCCAGGATCGTCGTCTGGCGTCGCCCGAGCCGTGCTAGGATCGTCGTCTGACCTCGTCCGAGCCTCGTCAGGATCGTCGCCTGACCTCCTCCGAGCTGTGTCAGGGTCGTCGTGTGACCTCCTCCGAGCTTTGCCAGGATCGTTGTCTGACCTCGTCCGAGCCGTGTCAGGATCGTCGTCCGACCTTCTCCGGGCTGTGTCAAGGTCGTCGTTTGATCTCCTCCGAGCTGTGTCAGGGTCGTCTTCTGACCTCCTCCGAGCCGTGTCAGGGTCGCCGCCTGACCTCATCCGAGCCGTGTCA